CCTTTACCCGCAACGTACTCGCCCCGCTAATGACCCGCATTGACCCGCCCAATAACCACTCCTAGTAGTAAGTGGTTTGTAAATGGTTTGATTTATAAGCGATTCGGTTCATAAACATTTTGGTTTATAAGCGGTTCGGTTTATAAACGGTTCGGTTAATAATCAGTTCGGTTTATAAACGGTTCGGTTTATAAACAGTTCGGTTTATAATCAGTTCGGTTTATAAACGGTTCGGTTTATAAACGGTTCGGTTTATAACGGTTTTTATGGCAGTTCAAACGGTTTCGGGTTAGAAACGGTTCGGTTCATTTTCGGTTCGGTTTCCTTTCAGTTCGGTTTAGATTTTGGTTCGGTTCTTAAACGGTTTAACGTTACTCGAATCGGTTCGGTTTCGGGTTCACTAAAATGCGGTTCGGGTCGGTTTTCGGTTTAAAAAAAGCGGTTTCTAAACGGTTCGGTTCTCATTCGGATCGGTTTGAATCGGTTCGGTTTCCCCGGTTCGGTTCGGTTTTTGACAGTACTAATTATTACTATTATTATCATGATTACTATTATTATTAATAATTATTATTTTTAATATTATTATTATTAAATATTATATATTTATTATTATTATTATTCAATATTAATTATTTATTATTATTAAATATTAATTATTATTATAATTTAATAATTCAATATTTATTATTATTATTATTAAATATTATTTATTTATTATTATTATTATTAAAATTAATTATTTATTATAATAGTTCAATATTTTATATTATTTTCAAGCAGAGGTGAGATGAGCAGGGCAGAATAGAGCAGATTGAAGAAGAGCAGCTCTAAAGAAAGGGGCCTTAGTTGGAGAGAGATATTATAAAATATTGGTAGATTCTTTTCAAATATAGTAGTGTTGCAACTAATATGAAATGGCCGAAAATAGAAAAAATTGCAACTAATACGAAATGGAGGGAGTACTATGTAATTTTATTTTATTTTATTTTTTTTTGGAAAAATGTAATAAACTAGTTGATAAGGGTGATATATACCTTTATTAAAAAAAAAAAGGTGATATATACCTTATACTTCGTATATTACATTGGGTACTAATATGATGTTACTCCATATTAACAAAATAATTTAAATTTTACTTTGGGTACTAATATGATGTGCTATATTTCTGACCCTCAACAATTAGTCATTTTGGTGCAGTGCCTATAGCGAAATAAAAATAACCTGGACACATGTATACTACAATCTTGGCAGTATTGTTCTTAAAATATACACATTTTTAGATCAAATCTGATAATTTCATTTACGTATTCTTCTGTCCCCCTCAATTTCATATTCAATATTGGCAAATGGCAAAACTATGGATTACAATTTACAAGTTATGCAGAGCATGTACTAAAATTCATGTGCATTCCTGACAAGAAAAATAAGATATAATCAATTTGCTTATATTTTTAAGTAAATTATTAAGGTGCTTGATGTCCAAAAACAAACAAAAATTAAGCACATGGTGAAGAAAACAACAATATCACATGAGTATGTGATTGCCAACTACTTCAATTATTTATTGAAGTTTTAAGCTTTGACAAAGGAACATAAAATTGAATCTCGTATATATTAGTGGATAATTGCTTCTCCATCACTCGGGAAAGTCGTATATATTGAAATTATAAGCTTTATCATGTCTAATCTAATTATTATAAGAACACATTAGCTTAAATTTTCCAAGATTTATTAACCGTTTAGACCTTTTTTTTTTGAAGGGATATTAACCGTTTAGACCTTGTTCTCTTTATCTTAAATAAATTATTTTGACTTCAATTAAAATAATTTATGATAATTAAATATGTTTTTTTTTGAGGAATAAATAACAATAAGTTAAGTTTTGCTAAAGTAAATTTATTTTAGTACTCCGTAAAAATAAATTATGTTCAATAACATAAGTTGTACGAGTATAAATTAATAAATAAATTCAGATATAAGTTAAGCCGTAATCAATAAAAATCAGTAATACAAAAGAACGCACATAATAGTGCAAAATAAATTTTAATTAATAAAAATAATTTAATTTTAACAAATAATTATTATTTTTAAAAAAAAAAAAAACTTAATAACATTAAAAATTAATTATGTTTAGCAAATAAGCTTACTTCATAAAAAATGGATAAGACGGCCGTGCCTTAGACTTTGTCAAAAAAAAAAAAAAAAAAAAAAAAAAAAAAAAAAAGCTTATGTTTTTGGGTCCCCCGGCTCTTTGATTAATAACAAAATCAAACACTAATCTTACGGGCCCGAATAAGCGAATACTATAATATATTAATATCTCCATCATGTCATGAGAATGTGGGTCAATTCCAAGATTGCCAACTCTTAAATTAACAAATATGGAGTAACTTGTCTTAAAATGAATTTTACAATAATCATTTCAAATATGACTACCATAATATTTTCATGATCATATAGTTTATAATTCATAGGTTTTTTCTAGATAATTAATTATATTACTTTACTTTAGGTGTAAAATATTATTATTAACATTTTTTTGATTAATCAATTTTTTAGTTTCATTTATGTAATTTTTATTCTTATAATATAGTTTTTCAAAAAAAAAATTATTTTATGTTGGATTGAAAATTTCAAAAAATATATTTGTAATGTAGATATAATTGTGATCATTTTATAAGGTGAGAAAAACCAATCATATTATGTATCACTAAAATAATGTGATAGTCAATTTTCAAACGACTACTGTAAAGTGATCCGTTTTAAAAATGAGCAAGTTTTAACTTTTAAGACTCATTTGACATTACTGTAGTTTTCACTATTTTGGATTTATTATGTTTTTTTAAGTCCTATGGTATATGTCATGTTAAGAATAAAAAATTAGTCTAATTATTGAAATCATGATTATTAAGAAGGAAAAATTGAAAAGAATAATCCTACCTTTGCTCCATCTGCTCAAAACAGGCCAACCTTTGCATATTCTGGGAACAATCCCATCTTTCACCCGTATTTTCTCAAAACAAGCCTTTTTACCTATAACTTGCTTAACAGGTTGATTTTTTTTTTTATTATTTTTTAAACCTCTGTCTAAAAAATAAAATAAAATAAAAATAAATAAAGTTAAAAACAAAAACCCACCTTTTCTCTCCTCCCCCTTCCCTCCCTAGTTCCCCACCATGGCCACCAGCCATCACTCTCTCACCTTACCCAACCTCCGTATCCCCACCTCCCCGCTTTCCCTTCCCCCAAAAAACTGCAACTCACACCACTGACCCACCACCTACACTACATCCATCCATTTCACCACAAACCCACCACCAACGACACCTCTCATCACCCACGAAACCCCACCCCCTTAAACCCACAAGCACCACTGCATCACAACCACTACGTACACCACAATTGTCTTCCACCTCAAAACACCAACCACAACCCCCGAAACCCCACCCGATGCCTCACATTCGACATACCACCCTTCTTTGATGCGTTTTCCACCAACCCCACATTATCATTCATATTAATGGCAAGCAAGGCAGATTGTAGCTTTTATCCACAATTCTAACACACAATACCCAAAATATACAATTACAAACTTATATTAAACATTAAAGGAACAATAAAATCCTCAATTTTTTCAATTACCCACGAAAATTCACATCTACCATATTTCACAATCAACAAAAATAAATCAAATGTTGGGTAATAAATTAACCATGAACAACAATAATTACCAAGGGAAGGGGAAGATGAGGGTGGTCGTTCAGGTGGCGGGCTTGTTTTAGACCGGAAGGTGGGGCTGGGCCGTGGACTGTGGTAGTCATTCAGGCAAAGGCGGCTCAGTGGTTGGGGAATGGGTGTCGTTCAGGGGCTGGGCTGAAGTTGGGAAAATTTTATTTTTTAATTTTATTTTTTTTATTTTTAATTATTAAAAAATATTAGACCAATTAGTTAGTGACACGTGGCATGTCACTTGCTAAAACCGGTTAACAATATAAAAAACAGGTCAAGGACTTGTTTTGAGAAAATAGGGGTGAAAGGTGGGATTGTTCCCAGAATACGCAAAGGTTGGCCTATTTTGAGCAGATGGAGCAAAGATGAGATTAATCTTTTCAATTTTTCCTATTAAGAAAATTGACTATTGAAAATTGAAAACTACTCCCTCCGTTTTTAAATACTTGCTCCATTTCTCCATGCGCGGAGTTTTAGGAGAAATTAGAGAAAGTAATAAAATATGGAGGTAGTGGGTTGGTGGAAGAATAAAAAATTGTAAAAAGCAAAAGTAGTGGAGAAATTGGAAGTGAGAGAATATGAAATGAATAAAATATGATATTTGTTGGGTCCACTAGGTGGTATAAATAAATTAAATATTGTAAAAACTTTCCGAATAAGGAAAGAAAGCAAGTATTTAAAAACGACCGAAAAAGGAAAGTGGAGCAAGTATTTAAAAACGGAGGGAGTACTTTTTTTTCTTATTTTTTGAAATAATAAATACAATTTTTTTTTAAAAAAAAATTTATTTTTAATGTATTTCCTTTCTGTAAATGAATCAAGGAAAACAATGGTATAGATCTCGCTTAAATGTATCATTACTTTTTTTTTTTTTGAGGCAAAAATGTATCATTTCTTCATTGTTGTTTAATTGATTTCTCTTAATAAACTTAAGTGGGCTGAATAGAAGGTTGGATCAAGAGGACTGTGGAAGGATAATTATTCTGGACCAGATCCATCACGTAACATATACGTTGGATACAAATTTTTGCCTAGACTCTAGGGTAGCTAGCTTCTCCTACACCCCCATGCTACTACGTCGTTTTATATTGAACCATTCTCCCTTTTTTTTTCTTCATCTTTTTTCATTTTTGTTAACTTTCTATTCAAACAACTATATAATTATTTTCTTAACCTAATTTCCATTTTATTTCTCTCTTATTTTACTTATTTCATTTTCTCGATCTCTCCTGCATTTTTTATTTTTCCTCCAATTTTCTCTCTCTTCTTCCATGGAAATTTCTAGCTCAATTGTGTTTGATCGCGACTGTGATTCTAGCTTAATTGCTTTTGAACGTGATTGTGATTCTATTTTTCCTGTTGGAGTTGGTTTAGTCGACTCGTTTTTGAAACAATGTGAGTAATTTTTTCCTTAATCATTCGATTTTGATTATGCTCTGTTTTTCGCCTGTAATAGTTCGATTTTGATTTTTGATTTCATAGTTTTGCTAATTGTATGAATTATAGTTTATATAATGCTCAATTCTAATTTTTGATTTTATTGTTTAGCTAATTGTTATTGCTTATTGTATGAATTAAAACCAAAATTATGGTCGATTATAATTTTTTATTTCATTTTTATTTATGATATTTTTAATTTATAGTTTGTGATGTATTGTTGTTATTTTATTGTTTTTATTTGTAATGTTGTTATTTGATTGATGTTTTTTCCAGTTTTCTGCATTTTAATGATTAGCTATAATTTTATAAAATTTGACATTCAATTAATTTCTGTAGAGTTTTTCGTCGTATTAAACTAATGCTCATGTATGTTACATTATATGTACATTTACGTTTACATAGGTGTAGTTACTGTAATTTATATTTATCTATGTAATCACAAATGTTCATTTATATGTTTCATTATCATTTTGATATATGTTCATTTATGTAATGATAAATAATCATTAACAGTTTACATGTGGTTATTGTATTGTAATTTATTAAAATCATTATTGTAATTGTACATTATTGCTATTGTTTGTGTTCATTTGTTACATTTTAATATTGCAATGGAAAAAAAAGAATGTTATTGTATTTGAGGAAGCAGCTAATTCTGAATTTTATGGGAAACAATTTCCTTCTGAAGATGTGGCTTATGAAATGTTTAATGAATATGCATTTAGAAAGGGCTTTGGAATTAGAATTGGAAAAAGTAAGAGGCGAAGAGATGATTCATTCTCTATGAAAAGATTTGTTTGTACAAATGAGGGTTTTAAAGATAATAAGTGCAGGAATAATAGGCTTTATGAGAGACTTAACATAAGGACTGGTTGCTTAGCTTTTGTGCAGTTTAGTATTGACCGTTCAGGTGTATATACATGTACAAGACATGAGATGGTCCATAATTATGAAATGATTCCTGTTGACAAGAGGCATTTAATAAGGTCTCAAAGGGATATTTCTAAGGAACATATTAATTTCATTTCTACACTTAGATTGAGTGGAGTTAAAGTTTCTGATTCTTTGAGAGCTTTGAAGAAGGAGGTTGGAGGGTCTCCTAACCTTTGTTTTACAGCTCCTAATGCTTATAATGCTATATCTGCTGAAAAGAGAGCTAAACTTGAGGGAGGTGACAACAATCAACTAATCAAATTTATTGCTAAGAGACAAATTGATGAAGCAGATTTCTATTATGATTTTGAACAAGATGAAAATGGTGCATTGGTTAATTTCTTTTGGAGAGAGGGAAGGATGATGAGAGATTATCATTACTTTGGTGATTTGTTAGTTTTTGGTACTACTTATAGGACTAACAAATATGGTATGATTTGTGCTCCATTTGTGGGTATGAATCATCATGCAAATAATGTGATGCAAATAATATGCTCCATTTGTGCTCCATTTGATCTTAATGAAAGAACAGAATCATTTGAGTGGTTATTTGATACTTTTCTAACTTCTATGGGAAGGAGAAGTCCTATTACTATAATGACTGATCAAGCTCAAGCAATTGCAGCTGAGATAAGAAATATTTTCCCCAAAGGTGTTCATCATAGATTATGTGTGTGGCATATTGAACAAAATTCTAAGAAACACGTTGGGGCGTTGAGAGCTTTGGATGGTTTCACTGATTTATTTGGTTATTTGCTGAAGTATTGTGAAACTCCACCAGAATTTGAGCATTATTGGAAAAGGTACTTCTTGTATATACTTGTTTAGCTTCTTAAATAATTTTTACAGAAATGAACATTTAGTTTTTTATAAATGTTTATTTCTAATGATCATAACTGTTATGCTTAATGATCATGTTTTATTTACAGAATGTTGCTGAAATATGACTGTGCAAATGTTGATTGGTTGAATGATTTGTATAAAATCAAAGAGATGTGGTGTCCAGCTTTTTCAAAGAAACATTGGTCAGGAGGTGTGCTTTCATCTCAACGTAGTGAGACAACTAACAAATCAGTTTCTCAAAGGCTTAACAAGACACAAGGTCTATGTGATTTCTATCAAGTGTTTCTCGATGTGGTTCAAGAGTGGAGAAGCTAAGAAAAAGGGAGAGATTATAATACAATCAGAGGTAATCGTCATTTGGCCTTTGCATACATTGGGATTCTTGTTCATGCTAGATCATTGTATACTATTCAAGCTTATGTGATTTTTGAGGAAGAGTTCATTAAGGGTACTGCTTGTGATCATAAGGATGCTGGTGTGAATTTTCCTGAATATTATTATCATTTGTGGAGACCTAGGAAAGATATGATCAAGCATGAGGTTGTTTTTAATAAAGAAACACATGCAATATGTTGTACATGCATGTTGTTTAGTGAAATGGGTTTGCTTTGTTCTCATGCTCTTCGAATTTATCATATGAATTATGTTCATAAGATTCCAGATGACTATATATGTAAGAGGTGGACTAAGGCTGCTATGTGTAGTTATGGCCTTGATGAACCTACAATGAAAACCAATGTAGTATCTACAAGTGTTTGGAGGACACAAACACTAAGGAAATTTGTTAAGTTGGTAACAAGTTGTCAACACTCTTTGAATGCTAGAGCAGAGGTTGAATATTATTTCAATCTTTTAAAAGAAAATATTGAGAGTGTTACTGGTACTATTGATTTTAATGAACTGGTTAAAGGTATTGAAATTGTTGATCATGAAATTAAGAATCCGGCAAAATCAAGACCTATTGGAGAGAGGAATTATAGGCCTAAGAGTAATTTAGAGAAGGCTTATAACAAAGCCATGGGTTAGTGGATGAAGAAAAAGTCAGAATACACTCCTTATAGAAGATCTAAAGGTCAAGCAGTAGTTCAGGTAATAATGAACATTTATGTTTTTGTTATTGATTATTTATGTTCAAGAATTGAACATTTTTGTTTTGCCTTAGGAATTGGACGAGAATGGGTGTCTTATATCTTATACTAATTCTTTGGCTGATCCTAATGAGTTAATTGTGATTGAAGATCCAAGTGGTCAGGTAAATATAAAACTTATTATTATTATTTTTTTAATCTATTTTTATCAAATTCTTTAGAATATAAAACATTTTTACTTTTAATTTTTTTTTCAAGGTTGGTAATAAAAAGACTGCCATTGTAGAAGATATCCCTTCAGATGATAGTGTTTCAAATGACTTTGAACCGGAATTATGTAAATGATTATGTATGTAATTGTAGTTGTTCATTTCAGTAATTTAAGTTGTGATTATAATGTTTTTATAATTTTCATTTTATTATAGGAATATGGAGATAGCTCTGTGCAATCAAACGTTACTGTTGATCTAGACATATCTTCTATTGTGAAGGTGAAATATTAATCATTTACCTTTTAATTTTGTATAAGGTCATTATGAATTTTGAATTTGATCATTAATTATTTTAATTTTGATCATCAGGGTAAAACAACTGCAATTGCTCATGATGTTGATAATGTTCCAACAAGTTCTCAATTGCCACCAAAGAAACCAAGAAATGCACAATTTCCCACAGTTGTGCATGCTCAAATCAATGCTCAAGCTCCTTCTAAAGTTTCTAGCATTGTTCAAAATCCTCCAAAAGCTCCAAGAAATGTTCAAGTTTGTTCTAGTGTTTCGAAGAAAGTTCAAGCTCCTTCTAATGTTCCAAGAAGTACTCAAGGCTGTTCTCGGAATGTTCAAGTTGATCCTAGTATTTCAAGAAATGTGCATGATGCTCTTAATGTTCCAAGAAGTACTCAAGGAAATTCAAGGAATGTACAAGTTTCTCCTAGTGTTTCAAGGAATGTTCTAGTTTCTCCTAGTGTTTCAAGGAATGTTCAAGGATCTCCTACTGTTTCAAGAAGTACTCAAGGCGGTTCTCCACAGATTTCAACCAAATATGATAGGTTATTAGCGTTTTTTGATACTAGTGTGGCTAAGAGATTGGCTACAAATGGTAAATAAGAGAGTAAATCAATATGCAATTATGTTTTGGTGTTTAACTATCAACATTTTTAGTTGTCTCAACTTTATAGAGATTCAAGTGCTCTAAGTTTTTTTATATTTTGATTTATTATGTAATTTGAACCATGTTTTTTTCAAACTATTCTTAAATTTTCTATAAATGATTATTATCGCTTTTGGAAGTGATCATTTACTATTTTAAATAGTAAGAACCATTATTAAATTGGAATAATTATATTAGATGATTTAAAACTGGCAATTATAATGTAACACTTTACTATTTGTAAATATTAAAAAGATAAAAAATTTTGTCTTTACTTGAACAATAACAAAAACTTATGTCCATACAAATACTGAAAGCAAGTATGATCATATATATGTCTATATAATCCCCGGCAACGGCGCCATTTTGACGAGGGGAAAAACTAGGTCGTTATCTAATCTTCCCTCGGTCAAACTAAATTTATAAACACTTAACAAACCTAAAAACGAGTATAGAGGCAAGTCAAAGGTCGAACCCAAAGGAACGGTAATGCTCAAGCACTTTCAATTATGCGCCTAAGCTAGGTCGAAGACGAAGGTAAGAGAGAATACTAACAACTAACAAAACAAGTAACTAAGGAAATAAAACACTAGGAATGGGGATCAACAAGTAATCATGTCAATTACAACAACTTGGGAAGAGCATGCCAATCAAAGGTTGTGAGGACTAAATGATAAGAGCAATCAATAGGAATCAAAGAGCTATCTCCTAATTGTTAAGTTAGGGTTCACTATGAATAATCCTCCTCTCCCCCGTCTCAAATTTTGGAACCGGTCTAAACAAACCCCCATCTATAACAAAATGAAAGACCGGAAGTTTAGACCCTCCCGCCATTACTTTCGTGAGGATATGGCCAAGCTAGGAATTGAAAATGACCTTGACATCCTTCTAGATAACCTAAGCATGGGTGAGTTTCTAAAGTCGGCCCTAGAACCTATTTGGAGCCTTCCATTGAGTTTTTCTCCACATTTGAGTTCAATAAGGTGGGGGAAACCGATTTTATTATTTCCTTCCAACTCTTCAATGTCAAACACACCATGAACCTAGCCGAGTTCAATGTAGCCCTTGGTTTCAACCCTAATGGTGATATCTTCAAGCCCCTTATCTCCCTAGTCCAAACTGAGTATAATGAGGTTTCTTGGTGGAAAACCATAGCTAACAGGAGGGAGTTTGATTCGAAGAAGTCCCTTGCTAGTGAGATTATCCATCCGGCCCTTAGGATCCTTCATAGAATTCTTGGGTATTCGGTCTTTAATAACCAAGATTTGGGGAAGTTATCTCGGGAGGAGATTATGGTGTTATGGATGGCTACCAAGCCGGAGCTAGGGTCAAGGATTAATTTTGGCTATATCTTCATGAATTGTTGTAAGGAGATAATGCATGGGATCAAAACGGGGGAAATTCATTGTGGGGGCATGGTGACACGTCTTGTGTCGTATTTCAAGCAAGAGGGGTTCTTGAAGACTTGCACTCCGGTTGGAGGAGTGAAGACGTGTGGATTAGTTTGAAGCAAGTTAACACTTTGCGTTTCATAACTAGCACTAGGAGACCCGGCACTTACTCTTGGCTAGTGAGAAATACCCACCATTGCCTACTCCCTAACCCGGCCGCCACCTCCATCCTTCGTGAGGCTAGAAACATTTGGATGGTCCCTAGGGACAATGGGAGGATTGATGATGAGATGGAGGAGGATGATGAGATTGATGGGGGTGCTGGGAATGATGAGGAAGAGGAGGAAGGAGGAGGAGAAGGATATGATGAAGAGCAACAACAACCGCCACTACAACAACAACATGAGCATTTTCATGATGACGCTCAAAGAAGAAGAAGAGAAAGGAGACATCAAAGACAACAACAACAACAAGATTTCCAAGGAGATGCTTATCTCCGAGAGATGGAGGCCATGAGTTCCAACATGGAGCGCATGCAATTGAGCATGCAAGGTATGTACTCGGACCACCAAACTTTGTCTTATCAAACTAGCGCCTTGTATGACGTTAGTGTGCGTAGGGGGGAGGTCACACCTCCGGTCAACTACCCTTATGTGCCGCCCCAACAAGGGTCGGTACCTTCATGGGGTGGTGATAACCTCCCTACGTACCCATATTGGCCCGGGGTTGAGGACCCCGATGTGTCAAGGCGCGACTTCCCACCTTATGATTATAGGGTCTCGGGGGGGGGGGGGGAGTGATTATCGGGGTGATCCCGCATACTACTATGTTCACCCCCATCACCCCGAGCCCCTTGTTCAGCGTGAGCCCTATGACCAATTAACCCGATCCCAACTTGACCTATTCAAGGGTCACTATGGTTTTCCTCCCGGTTACACCGGAGGTTGGGATACGGGTGATGATGGTGCCGGCCCTAGTGGCCAATAGTCCCCTTATGCATCTTTGTTTCCCTTTTTGTTCTCCCCTTTCCCTATTTTGCATGTTTATAGGCATCGCGGTCGATGCCTTCATTTTGTGAGGGGGGAGGGTCAAAAAGGATGTTTTATGTTGGTTTGGGGAGGCACATGGGGCTCGGTGGGAAGTCTTTGATAAGGCTTTTGGTGGATTTTTGCTAATGGTCTCGTTGGTTTGTTGCTTGTTGTTGTTTTGTTTCACTTCATGATGTTTTTGGAAATTTCTTGATGATGATGATGATGATGATGGGTTTCTCTAGGTTTTTGTATATAGCTTGTGTCTAAGTGTTTTATTGTTTGCTTTTGTTTGGAAGTTACTAACAATTTCATTTTGTATATATTGCATTTTTCTATAACTCACCTTGCTCGTAGCCTATGCTTTGGATTGTGGAACCTTTTGGAGAAGCACGTTCCTACTCCTTGGGTACTTTAATTAAGCACAGATGCTTGGTGAGGCCTTTCTTATTTTACTCTTTATTTTCACTTCTTCATTTTCTTGGTTGCTTAGATTAGGATTAGATTTAGGAGAAGTTGAACGGTTCGAGGATGTATGAATTTAACACCTAGTGTGTTTGGGGTCTTTGGCGATGTGGCCATTAGACCGCTTGTATGTCGATTGGGATAAACGTGTTATGATTGCATCTTTGCCCTTTTCCTCTTTCCCTTTCTTGTCCTTGTCTAAGTTTTACATCTTCTTCTTTTCTTTTCTTTCCTTTTCTTTTAATCTTGTTTGTGTGCATAACTTTTTGAGGCTTTATTTTCACTCTTTCTCTTTTTAAAAATTGGACTTGTATGCAATGGACTTTTGCTTTTGAATAATAGTCTTCTTAGGTAATAATGGTATGCACGGTTTGAGATTACGTTTGGTTGATTCTAGGATAAAGCATGTTAAGATAGTTGTCTAGAACTAGGGGGATCATGAAACCGGATTCTACTCGTTTGTGGCATGTTGGTAGTTGCTCTCTATCTTTGATTTGACAACCTTAGTGAGTTTTTTCTACAACCATGTGAGATTTATATTTGTTCAAGCTTTCATCATACTCTTGCATGAGCGGCATGGATCCTTGATTTTCGCAAACCTAATCTAGAATCTTAGCGTATGATTCCTAAGACCGTGACCGAACTACCTAGGGAGGACAAAGGCAACTTTTCGGGGAGGTATTTTTCTTTTTCTAGGATAGTCCCTTTTTGTTTACGTTTTTTTTTGGGTTTGGGATACATTTGCCTACTTGTTACCCCTTTGAACCTTTTTCCCTCTTTTCAAGCCGCATAATTAGTTATCTTGAGCCTTTTGTTTCGTTCTCCTTCTTTTTGTTTTTTGTGAAGAAAGGGTCAATGTTTGGTGATTGTGTCTATGAAGTTGGCGTTTGGTTCGAATTGGTACG